CTCTCTCTCTCTCTCTCTTTCTCTCTGTTCTCTTCGCGGGAGAGGCCGTCGTGAAATATTGCCAGTGAGCAACAAACTGCATTCTGCAAGCTGTATACTGTTAATTTTATGCCGGATTTTTTTGCCCACTTCATTCATCCCCCCATCCCTCTTGTTACTCGGACTTGCCGCGTAAAAATCGTTGCCGCCGGAATTCTTCATGGGCGAAACGTTCGCTTTTAAATCACCAATGTGTGCAAAGAAAAATGTATAAAATATAGATTAAGTTTATTGAGTTTAAATAAAAGGAATTTCAAGTGTACGAAGTATGGTTTCCATGTTCGTAATTAAAACTTTCGTTAGTAATTTAGTTTGTTGGATATTTCCTCTATGCACGATATGTTGCATAAAGAAACATTTTGAATATGATGAATATGGATTACATAATGTCAGACACGCGCTAGATCCACCCCATTGTTCTTCAGCGCATAAAGAACCGTTCGCAATATCCTTTGATTCTTCTGCTTTTCACATGAATATGCATCCGTCTGGGATTACATTTTTGATCGAGATTTTCTCAATAGCGTAATCTATCGAAACCTTCTCTCGCAATGGGCTACCATAGTGAAGCGTATGAAGTTTTCACTCCCTTCTGCTTGTTACGTTCAACGAGTATCGTTAACAGCAACGTTGCTCGATAAAGATCGACTCTAATCTGTCACGATCAAAATTTTATCTCACAAATTACAACGTGTTAATTTCTTCGTGAAAGAACATTGTCGAATAAACAACAAAAGCCTCAGCCTCGAAACTTTTGACGACGAAAGGCAAGCGACTGAGGGCTCGAGAAAGAAATTATAATGTATCAAATTTTTCATTAGGGAACGTCGTGTTGAGTAAAAAGCACAAAGTGCAGAGAAACTTTATTTCTTCATGTACTCCTCAATCTATTTCATTTCGATAGTCTTAAAATTTCGAAGTCTTCTCGAGTCAAACTGAGAAGCTTTCTTCTTGACAGTCAAAATTAAAATATCTATAACTGCGAAAAGAAACTTTAGTCCTCCGGTTTACGTACTTTTATAATTATCCACGATCGAAATTTCGAAGTGTCACGAATTCGAGACGAAAGACTCTCGCTCGTGACAGCTTTGACGGTTTGAGAACGAGGGAGGAGAAAGAGGAACGAAGTACGGTTAGAACTTGATATCACGTTATCAGAAAGAACAATGCGGAACCGCGATTAATAGGGCCTGTAATCGGACACCCCACACGCATCCCCCCGGCGATATATGCAAATTCGATCGGACACGGTTTTAGAAATTCGCCGCGGCCCTCCTCGTCCGCCAACAATGCGTGACTCCATCGACAATAGGAAATAATAAACCGTGATAAATAGCCAGGCAAATACGTACGACAATCGCGGATCTCCTTTCGTCTCCTCGCCTCTTCGTCGCTCGTCTGTGTTTTCTCTTTTTTTTTTTTCTTCATTCGTTCGTCTCTCGTGTTTCGCTCGATTCCAGGTGGACTGATTCATATTCCCGAACAAATACGTTCGGCAAATATCGCGCGGGGGTTGATGGGGTTCTTATGTGCGAGCAAATAACGGCGTTAATTTCCTTGCTCACGTGTCCCGTCGCGTTTCATTTCCCAATGGCGCGGCCGGAAGAGATTGCACTCGTTTCGATGGTGTCCTCTTTTTATGTCTATTCGATGGGATGCCCTGGTGTGGCTTTCAACGTTCAATCGTTGCGCTGTTCTATATATGGCGAGAATAAATTAGAAACGGGAAAAGAAGCTTGAAGCTCGATCGAAAGCTTGTCTATTGAAGAGAATGCAATGTGAAAGTCTGTAGATAAACGAGGGAATACGTTCTGTGATGAAGAAGAAATTAAAATAAAAGTGTTTATATTTATTATTTTTACATTGAAATATTTTATTCAAATTATTGTACATTATTGGCATAGTGCCGATAGCAAAGTGATTTTCATGGAAAAAATAAAAGAAGGCCAAAAAAACCAATTACGTTTATGCACAAATGATTAGGAATATTATAGTTTTTCTCTTCGCTTTGAAATTTTTATTCGTTTATTAAAACGTGTTATAGAAATAAAACTATATTTAATGTTTTTTGTCTAGAAGACGTATCGAGGAGTAGACTACCCTTATGAGATGGAAGTTTTAGAAGCTTGAAGAGGCAGCACTAATCAAAAGTGGTCCGCGGAGACAGATTGAGGGGCGTGCTGAAATAAATCAGCCCTTTGTTTTACGGCTTTAAAACGGCCGTTGGGGATTTCGAACGCGAAGTTACGTCCATTCATTAGAAACACCCCAGCTGCGAGACGCAAAAGACTTCGCTGCCTCGTTTAGAAACTGCGTAATCGTTGTTCCCTGATACCGTTATGCCATTTCTTCACGAGCCTAACTTGAACACGCTTATTCCCAAACCTATGCCAAACTATTTTTATAGAAGTATTTTCATTAATTAATAAATATCGGGAATTTCTATACAAAATTCATAGTTTCGACAATCGATGTCGAATGTTACGGAAAGCAATGTACTTTGAATATTTTATACATTCTTTTATGTTAGGTGCAATTTTCTGTACAACTTCGTCGAAATGAAACTAGCTAGTCTACTAATTAGTAATGACGTAAGTTAAACCCGAAGGTTGATGGAGCGAAAGAAATAAATGTATCAACGATTCATCAATCTGATGGAGGAAAAGGGTTAAACGATGCATCGTGGTGGAAACGATTCGAATTAATGTTTCGAGAAACTCGTCCTTAAATCCCATAGGACCTTGTTGATGAAAAGTAAGGACACTAGATATAATGATCTGTCTTTTCAGAATCTAATTTTCTCCTATGCCAGTCGTACTGTTCTCTAGGATTAACTAAGATAGATCATTATTTTTGTTGGAAAAATTATAGAAAATTATGCGTTTTATCGTTCACCGAGATATTTACTTTTTAAAATATACTTGTATCAGACTAATACAAGTAGATAATGAAGAATCGAGAACAAGCAACTTGTCACTCGTGCGTTAAAAACATTGATTTATTTCCTCAGACCTTGTTATATAATTATACAGTCTGCTGACAATAACGGTGATAAGTGAATGTCGATAATTTATTTTTAAACATAATGGCTCCACATATAGCAGCATACAACAGGTCAACCAGCGTTTCAATTGTTTTTGTAAAGTATTCTCTCAACTTTCAAAAGCTTTCCTTCGCGTTTCATATAATTTTCTCAAAAGATTTCCCAATTTCACTCGCAATCCTAACTTTACCCAAAATTAATTAGCAATCTAATATTATCTAATACTAGACGTCTAACCCGAATACGGAAACCTAAATAAAAAATAAAAAATCTCAAACTGTTTTTTATCTCACGTGAGTACTTAATCAAGTGAAATCGTCAAAAATCAAACACTTACATGTCACTTTACATAGACACTGATCTGCATTATCTGGAGTGTGTGTATATATATATAGGTATAAATTTCGTTTATTTAAATTTCATGCGTTATACTTTTTGATATTTATCGTCTATTTTTTTTTTTGAATATATATTTTGAATATCGACCGATAGTGTGCATCGATGAACCTGAGCACGGCACATAAGAATGCCTGATAATATATTATTATTGCGCGGGCGCGGGTCAATAATCGGGCACGTTGCCTGGCGACGGTGCTCCTGCTCTCTCTCAGCGTCCGGAATTTCTTCTTCAGCAACTAGTCCTGCAGCTGCGAGCTGCAACGCGCAGAAGTCCAGCAACCTTCAATACATCGCCATCGGATCGGTTTCATCTACTCTGGCTTAAACACTCGCCGCTCCTTGGTAAGTAAGTCGAGCCACTTTCCGTTCGAACTTTGTTCGTTCTCGCTCGGCTCGAGTTCGAGCACTTTCCGTTCGAACTTTGTTCGTTCTCGGTCGGTTCTTCGCCAGACATCTGCTTTCGTTCTCGGTGAGCCCCGTTATCGGAGTTTTATTGTCTCCTCTCCACGGACTCAAAGTTCAGTATTTCAAAACCAAATTTATAACCTTCGTCGCCTTTCCCACTGATCTCTCCGTCGAGTTTCGCAAACTGGCGTCCGTTAGTTTCTCCTCTTTATCGACCGATTGGCAAATATTGCACTTTAAAACGATAGCGAGTATTTAAAAACGTACGAAGAAGAGGTAATTTCAACAAGAAGATACTCCTGTTATCGTCACGTCGTATTTTCATTTTCAGTTCGACGGTCGTTCGCCAGTTATGCGAAGGAAAAGCAGACAATTAGCGAACTCGCAGCTCTGTGCAGATGACAAAAGTGAATGTGACGAACACGATAAACTGATATTTCCAAGATGTACGATGGAAAGTACGTTTGAAAGAATATGTGGGTTCAAACTGGACGATCTTGCCTCTTTCGAAAGATTCACGGCGCTTTTGTACCGACCAACCGATCCAACTAGTTTAGGGGTTGT